GTGCTACTGAACAGTAGGTCCCGGGGAAAGTACAACAGAACCAGAGGGCAGAATGTCTCAGCTCAGAGCATGCTGAGGTCCCCAGTACCCAAGTTGGGATCAGAGGCCTGGCCAACATGGAAGTCGGTCCTGAAGACCATGTTCAAGGTTTTTATGACCTCAGTTCCAGAGAACTTGATTCTAAGAACAAAAATATAAAGAAGCCTGTTGTACAAGGGTGGATCTGGGTCCTATAATTCTATTCAATTATTGGAGGGATGAATCATTACGCCAATGAGGGATGGTCGAGGGAAGTAGAGATAATTAGACTGAAGTCTTAGAAAAGCTGGCAATTATCATCAAAGCAGTGGAGGGTTATTGCATGGAAGAGCCCCAGGAAACAGGCCAAGGACAGCACTGTGTGAACTTGGTGGCAAGATTTACCTTGACTTAGGAAGAACATTTCGAGCGCCAGAGGCCCATCCCTGGAGTGGGTGCCTTCTGAGGCAGCTCCATATGCACCGGAAGCTGGATATCACCGTTTCAAATATTAAACGGGCTTTTAGTTATCAGGAGCGTTTGACCAAAGGATCTGTTTGATCCTTCTTAACCCAGATCTCCTGGGCTCTTTGCACCAGTGTTGGCTTGCTTTGGTGTATTTTTATTAGAGCATGTTCCCTTATAGATCCCAAACTAATGTAGCTCAAAAAGACAAATCAACAAAACCCCGCCACTGTCGGGTTCTGTGATCTCCCTGCTACTGCAGCCAGTGAAAACTGCCGATCACTATTACTGAGCTGTGCACAGCCTATGCAAGGCTGCCCAGGAGCTGCTGCCCCCTCATGGAAATGAATACAACTGCTTAGAAAGCAAGCAAGATGCATTCTGAGGCTATTGTCTACACAAAGCCCTATCTTTCCTTCCCCCATCTTCACTTTTTGGTGAGATCCTGCAATTTTTGTCCCTAGCCCACCAGGGTCTTTTGTTTACATTCACATCATTATGTCCCATAAAAGCCTGGACTTTTAGCCACAACATAAGTCCTGGTTTCCACAGTGGTTGGAATTTGCGCCTGACTGTTTCAAGTTAGAGTGAACTTGGACATTAACACAATGCTATAGAAAGAGCACTAGGCCAGGCTTAAAGGCCTAGGTTCCAGCTCATGTTCTGCCATTTGTCATGTCACCTTGAACAAGTTACGCATTTCTTACACATGTGCAAAGCTCTGGAGTTTGGAGAGGTGATCCTTCGAGAAAAGAGGTCCATCCTATGTGTAATACTTGCAGCGGCCATTCACAGCAAAAGGCTGTGGGACCCTCACTGGCCTAGGGACCCTCACTCACCCATAAAGACTGGCCAAGCCCAGGTGTTACTTATCTGTGCCTCCCACCGCAGGGACTGCCACAGGCAGAGGTTTTTCTTTTCTTGTAACAAGGAACTGTGCAGGGCTGATCAGGGAGGGACCAACAATTCCGAGGTTGCTCATTCTTGCCATTCTTGCTGACAATATAAAGCCCGGTGACTTAGATGAGTCACTGGCAGAAATGTCTCATTGTTTCTCAACAGCTCACTGTTGCCATAGCAGGGTTTCACATGAGGAAGGGGCAGCTGAGGACACCACCTGGTCTGAGTGCTAGGCAGGTAGGTGTTCAACACCAAACTGGAAAGATGGTTTGGAATAAAGTCACCGAGTGAGGAATATGACTTTCATTTTGTGTGTTATGAATTTTCAAGACACTTTCATGAAGAGTCAAGGAAACAGAGGGTAAAGATTAACCTATTTCTCAAGATTGCAGTCTCTATTCAGAATCATTTATGGTTCCAAAATGTTAAAGGATTATTTGTTTTAGTTCTGTGAAAAATGTCATTGGTATTTTGATAGGGATTGCTTTGAATCTATACGTCACTTTGGGTAGTACATACATTTTAATGTTAATTCTTCCTATCCATGAGTATGGTAATATGCTTCCATTTATTTTTACCTTCAATTTCTTATAATTTTCCAAGTACGGGTCTTTCACCTCCTTGGTTAAATGTATCCCTAGGCATTTTATTGTTTTTGATGCAGTTACAAATGGGGTTTTTAATTTATCTGGTGGTTTGTTATTGGCGTATAAAAATGAAACTGATTTCTGAATATTTATTTTGTATTCTCTTACTTTACTAAATTCATTTATCAATTCTAGTAGTTCTTTTGGTGGAATCTTTAGAGTTCTCTATATATAGTATCATATAACTTTCATATTTAAAACGCATTTCTTTGTACTTAGGTTTCCCACAAAAGATAATTTTCCTTCAGAAAATGGCTTGCTAAGTTTTTGTTGTCTCTAAATGGTATTTTTAGTTTAGTATGGGGAACTATGCTCTGTTGGCCCCTAATACTGGATTAAGCTAACTTTCCCTTATCAGTATAACAGAAAATCCCCAAAGCAGACAATGTTTTGTTGACCTCAGACACCTTGTACTCTCCATACTTGCTAAAAATAAAACATCCTAGTGAGGCATTTACTACATCAGTCTTAAAACATTTTTTTTATCTACAAGGAATCTCACAAACTGAAGTGACAAACTGCCAGCAATACTTGGTCCATGAGTCATGGCATTAGCCTGAACTTTGAAGGTACTTTTTCTCCTCCCAAATACTTTAAACCAACTGAAATAATTTTTTTTTAAATTTGATCACAGTGAAGGTACATATCTATAAATATAAAAGCCTAAGTGACCAAGTGACTGGTCCACTGGTTGCTATAACACACACTGACCACCAGGGGGCAGATGCTCAACACAGGAACTGCTGCTCCCTGGTGGTCAGTGTGTTCCCACAGCCAACCTCCCATGGCTGGCCAACCTTCTGCAGTCCCTTCTCCCAGCTGGCTGCTCCTTCTCCCTCCCCTTCACCCTACTTAGTTGGCCCCAATCAACGAAAGGCCAGGCTGGGGGGACCCCACCAGGCCTCTAGTTAAAGCATAATTTAATTAATTAGCTTTAATCACTGGTTATAAAAAGGTACACTAAGAAAATGTTTTCACTAAAACGTAAGTTACTATTTAGTACACTACTTAACCAACTAATCCTAAATATTATGTAAGAGTAGTAAGTCAATCTGCCTTAATAAAGGTTTGTTAAAAGGGACCAGATGCTGTTCTAGTGTTTCACAGACAAAATCTCTAGTCCTTGGAAAAACCCTATAAGGAACATAAGCAAACAGACTCAAACTTGTCAAATTACTAAGCAAGGCCACACAGTTTAGTAGCAGCACCAGGATTAGAACATGGGCCTGGCCAGTTTTTGCCATGACGGAGCCCTTTCCTCTCTATCTCCTACAACTGCCTTGCTGAAGATGAGAAACAGGATGCCCCCATGATGCCAAACCCTGGTGCTTCAACCAGTGTTTCCTTGATATACTAGCCATATACTTAAAATTTTATTTGAAGCAAGCTGTGACTTCTTTCAATATGTATTTCGTTTTCTATTTATCACCCACTTTCACTTAAGGCAGATGGGTTCTAGAGGCCCTGGAAATGTCGGAAACAAAGAACACCAAAGAACACCTGTAGCAACTCTCAGCTTTGGGTCAAACTACAGCATGTTGGAAAGGATATTACTGAAAAGAGCTTGAACAGGGCATTCTGAAAAATAGAGGGTACAAAACCTGGGCCGTGCTTATAACTCCAAGGGTTGGGGGTATGATGTTCTAACCTGTGAATTCAAGAGGTATATTATTATATGTATTTGCTTATTGACACCATTTTTCTGATTTGAAGACACAAAGTCACTTCCTTTTAATTTAATATTTATTTTCATTTTATATTCAGATGTCACATTTTCTACATTAAAATATTATCATGCTGACTCTCCCACATACATCCTCTGAGAAGAAAGTGAACTTTACACAACTTGAAAGATGGAATGCACGGAGAAGTTGCTATTGCACCCAACTAACAAAGAACACAGAGACCACACAGTGGACAAGGCAGAGTGCATAGAAGACAGCTCAGGGCTCACAGCAGGAAGGAGCAGGAGTTAAAAGTTTAGCGAAAGCTTTTAAATACTATCACTTGTGCCACAAGATTACCCTGAAGAGGCAGAGATGGGTCAGAAAGCAGGACCAAATAGGGCTTTCCAAAGGCTGCTCTCTAACAATTTAACAGGTCCATACACAGGAGAGCTTTCTCCCACACCGTGTCCTCAGCTTCTGGCAAACACCTTAGAAAAGTACACCAGTTAGCATGTCCGAATGTAGCATGGGTGTAGGTTTTTCTTTTCTTTATTTTTTTACTGTACCTCCAACTCTTTCCAAGCAACAATTATACTGATTCTTTTCATTATGATTCCTCTGCTTGACAACCCGATAAGGATCAAGACACGGCATCTCACTACTATCCGATGGATGCCAGCTGTGCAAAAGCTGCAAGACTGTGTGCTACTCAGAGGGAGAGAGCACATGGACACACAGGAGTCCCCACTCCTTTTCTAATCTACTCATTAAATAGGAAAGAGCAGGCGGACAGTAAAAACCATCTGCTTAGAACAGCAGCTCAGACCTAGAGAGGTACACCACCATCCAAGCACAAATGCTGAGAGAGCTCTGGGCTCTTCTAAGCAGAGGCTTCTTTTAGTCCTGATCCTGCCCGATTTGGAGATCAAAGCATTATAGCTCCAGATAGTGATACTCTCAAGAGGGTAGAGAAGGAAGGTCTGAGAGACTCAAATAATGAGGACATTATTAGGCAACTAAGTATCCCACTATTTACAAATACACATGAGTAAGAAAACTTCGCCTCCATCCCTGCAGCTACTTTAAACAAAGCACTGAAGATCCCAGTTTTCTGAGCAGGGAATATGTCTCTTAGCAGTTTAAGACATTGCAACACTGGCACAATATGTCACCTATTCTTTGCTTTTAATTACAGGGCAACATGGTAAACTCCAACATAAAAGTGGGGATGGGCAAGTGCAAAAGGAATCAATAAACGGAACCAGTATTACTCAAGGGTATTGGGCCAACGATGAGATGGCAGCTAGTGCTTTGCGGAGTCCCGAGGGTAGAATTCGCTCAGGGTGCTCTGAGGGATTCTCTTCAGCATTTCTTTGGGGAAAATTCGGAGCAGCTGCCAGCCAATGTCCAAAGTCTCATAGACAGTGCGGTTTTCATAAGGACCTTATAAAAAATTGAGATTGGATGAGTAAAGGCAAACTACTTCCAATTTACCAGGTTATTCAGGATGTATTCTGTTATATGACCACACTGGAAGCATGAAGTATAAAAAAGAAGAGATATAGAGCAGTTAGGACTCCCCAGACTGGATGTGACTGAATGTGAAAATGAGGCCACAGACAATAAGCACCATTTTGAATCAGAGGAAAGAGAGAGGCCCATGGGCTAGAGATAGCAGACAGGCAGCCGTGTGTGTGTGTGTGTGTGTGTGTGTGTGTGTGTGTGTGTGTGTGTGTGTGTTGGAAGGAGGGAGGAGAGGAGGGACATGGAGACGGGGGGGGGGGGGGGTAGAAGGGGGAGGAGAGGAAGAAGGGGAGCTTTCTTGACAATTGGGTGGGGATCTAAATACTTTGGACAATGGAAACTAAACTTAGGAGTTGTGTCCAGAGGAGTGAGAAAAAGTTTCCCAGGAACAGAGCTGAATTTGAGATACTTAGAAAGGCCTATTGAGTACTTGAATAGGTCAGTGGTTTTCAAAGTTGTTGTTATTCTTTTTAATAGCAAAAATCAACTTTATGCAAATAAATCTCATTTCTTAACTAAGAAACCAGAGTGGCTGAAGTTCTGGATTCTTTTCTCTAGCAGAAGAATTTCATCTCTAACTTTTAAGGTATTAAGGTATACATTAAAAAACTCATATATTTTGGGGATTTTAATGTCAATAAAAAACTGACATTTATCACAAAAATAGAAAAGTGTACAAATTCCAATGCATAGCTTTATACATTATTCTGAAATGAACACATTTGTTCTAAGTACCACTGAGGTCAGGAAGAGTATTAGCAGCGATGGCAGGACTGGCAGGAGAAACCAAGCCAAGCAGCTTGAAACCCTGCACTACATAGGCTATGAAATGAAAACCATTCTGGACTTTTTAGTAGAGGGACAATGAATAAAATTTATTCTGGCAATTGTATATAAGAGCTCGAGAAAACTGAAAAAGCTAGCATTTTTTGACCAGGTGTAATGAAACCAAAGATGTGGACTAGGTTTTAAGACTCAAAGAGTGGTCAGAGATCAATATCTTCAACATCATCTAGGAAATGCCCAATTACTGAGCTTGAGTAACCAGGACAATAGTCATGCCGAGGTAGACAGAAACTGAAGAGGGAATTGCTAGGCAGGTGGTCAGTTGGGTAATAACTTTGCTGAGCCTCAGGGATGGTGCATAAACAAAGTGTCCCAGTTGAAGATGTGGGATTAGGACTTCAGAAAGAGGATAAGGATCAGACATAGCAATTCAGTCAATGCATAGGGGACAAGCCAAGGCTTGAGGGGCTGGGAGGAGGAAGAGGAGAGGAGAGGGAAGCACAGGCAACTACGCCTCTGGGAACATAAACAATTAAGAAGCAGAAAGATATATCAAAAAAAAAAAAAAAAAAAAAAAAAAAAGATGAAAACAGATGGACCAGAAAAGTCACAAACCCCCAACGCTAGAGAAGATGGCTGCGGAGAGGGTAGGAGGAAGGAGGCTTGCAACAGAAAGCAGTGGTAAGGAAGGGAGAAAATAAGGGGGGAGCTAAATAACTGGATGATAGAGTTGAAGGCAGAGGGGAAGGAACCAGAGCACTAAGTACAAAGACACAACAGAGTTGAAAGACCCTCTTCTCTAATCAGAGGAAAATTAAGTAGATACCAATGTAAAATCTCTCAGACTGGGAAAGGGGTCTTCAAAACTACATATGAGGCTGTTTATATTTGTAAGAAGAGTCATCTTACCCTGAGCAATGAAGTTCCTCTCAAACTTCTGCAGAAATTCCAAGTAAAGAAGATCATCTGAGGTAAGGGCTTCTTCTCCCACCACGGCTTTCATGGCTTGTACATCCTTACCAATAGCATAGCACGCATACTAAAGAGAGAAAAGATTGTATAAATGTTAATAATCATCTGTGCTATGTAAGTATATTTGCTTTAGGTGTCTTCATACAGAAGGAATGTCACATTACTTACACAATTCACATAAGTAAAACTCATGAAAGTATCAGAGGACTTATTAGGAAGCAGTCTCACCCGGAATCTTCAGGCATGCAATAGACACTGCTACAAAAATATACTTCCTCAATGTGACAATGAGTTATATTTTATAGAATATTTGAAAATCAGAATTCATACCATGGAGTAATCCATCTTAAAGTTCTATTCAAGAAAAACATTTGTGCTATTAGGTGTACCATTTCTACTATAAGGAAAGTTAAAGAATCCTTTCAGGAATACTCCATAATTATTATTATGATTACTATTAATAATAAAAACTTAAAATGGCCTTTTGGCTTGGTTTTTTATTTAGAAGCTACTTTACATAGCATAAAACAAGTGTTTCAAGCATATGATTTTTAATCTTTGTTATCAGCATCCATCCTTATGAAAAAAAGATTGTTTGGTTCTAATGAATGTTTTTATATTATACTAGAGGCCCAGTGCATGAAAACTCATGCACTGGAGGAGAAGGGGGATCCCTCAGCCTGGCCTGCCCCCTCTCACAGTCCGGGAGCCCCTCAGGGGTGGGAGACAACCTGATGATCAGGCAAAGGCAATGCCCTAATCACACCTCTGCTGCTGCCACTGCCGGCAGTGCAGGCCTCCATCTGGCCCTGGGTGGCTGGGGAGCTGAGGGGACTGGGCAACACCATCTTGTGGCTGTGGGCACTGCCATCTTTGAGGACGTGGCAGTCCATTAGCATATTCCCTCCTTGTTGCCTGTGGGTACTGCCATCTTTGTGAGGGTGTGACAGTCAATGAGCATCGTCCCTCTTTATTAGATAGGCTATGAAGCCTATAATAAAATTCTATCTGGGAAAAAGAAAAGTGATATGGGATAAAGATAAAAGGTATAAGATAGCAGAAAGAATAGATTAAGAAAGGCATTTACTTCTTTAAGCGCCATCATTAAGAAGATATACGTACCAGCTGGTTAGACACATCAGCATGATCCTTTCTGGTCATACCTTCCCCAATAGCAGACTTCATTAACCGTGACAATGAGGGCAGCACATTAATAGGTGGGTAAATCTTAGGTAGAATGAGAGGGGGAAAATAAGTACAAAATTCAAGCTGTACTGAGAGTGAAGAAGCATTATTAAATTATATAAAACTGCTGCAGTTGTTTCATAGGTGAGTTTTAACATGTTTTCCTGGTATGAAACTCTTTTTGGCATAATATTTCTTTTGAGAATCAAATCTAAAAACCTATACAACAGTACAAGATTATATTGAAAAACTGAATTTTCAATATTTGCCTAAAGTATCAAATCTAAGTAGGTTTTTGAACTCTGACTCAAAATCACATACAAAATAATAAGACTAACAATAATTCCACCTAAAAGTTGATCTAGTACAGAATCATCAAAAATTTGTTTTTGATTATTCAGCCATAAAAATAGAATGAAATCTTATCTTTTGACAATATGAATTAATCTTGAGGGGTAATTATGCTAAATGAAATAAGTTAAACAGAAAAAGATAAGTACCATATGATCTGTGGCATCTAAAAACAAACAAACAAACAAACAAACAAAACCCCACAAGTGCATGGATATAGAGAACAGACTGGTGGTTGCCTGAGGTGGGGAGTGGAGGCGGGTGGACAAAATGGATGAAGGAGGTCAAAAGATATAAATCTCCAGTTATAAAATGAACAAGTCAGAGGGATGTAATGTACAGCATAGAGATTATAATTAGGAAAACTGCACTGTAACCCTAGCCAGTTTGGCTCAGTGGCTAAAGTATCAGCCTGCAGACCAAAAGGTCCTGGGTTTGATTCCGGTCAAGGGAACATATCTCAATTGCAGGCTCCTCCCCTGCCAAGGCCCTGGTTAGTGCACATGCAGAAGGCAACCAATCAATGTGTTTCTCTCACATTATTTCAGTCTTTCCCTCTCTCTTCCACTCTCTCTAAAAACCAATGGAAAAATATCCTTGGGTGAGGATTAAAAAAAAACACAAACAAAAAACCTGCACTGTATTATATTTGAAAGTAGCTAGGAGAGAAGATCTTCAAAATTCTCATCGGAAGAAAAATAATTTTTAACAATGTTGATGGATGGTTACTGGACTTATTTTGGTGATCATTTTGCAATATGTACAAATATTGAATCATCATGTTGTACACTTGAAACTAATAAATTATACCTCAATAAAAAAAAACACAGAAAAAATGTTTTTGTAGTATTAATCTGATTGGTAGATTATACCATTATGGAATAGAATACCCAAAAACATTCTTTAAGACAATTGATTCCATTGTAAGACACAATATAGAAAAAGTGGAAATTAGTCACACCAGGATATTGACATCAATCCTCATAATGTCACTGAAGGGTCTTTGACTTTAAGTAAAATGACATATAATGAAACTAGTTTTCCCATAGGCTGATTGATAGAAACAAGAGTTAAGTTCCTATGGCATCTCATCAACTTTAAAACAAAATGGCGATGAACAAATGTTATTCGAGAATTTGTTGTACATAGAAATGACAAGTTTACAACCATGTCAAAATCAATTTAAGATATTTTCTAAAAAATAAAAATAAAAAATCCCAAGAGCAAAGTCCAAGTCACTAAAGAATAACTGAAGAGAAGATTTGTAAGTTTTACTGTGCCACTCAAATGTCAAATACCTGTCTGTTGTGTAGCTGTCTATCCACATAGATCTGCCCCTCTGTGATATATCCAGTCAAATCAGGAATGGGGTGAGTGATATCTACCAGAAGAAGACATCCGATGTTAGTTAAAGTGTCATCTCATATAAACAAACACACAGCATGTCAATCTGCATTTACCTACAGCACTACCTAACACTATGCTTGCTATCTATCTATCTATCTACACTAATAAATGAGAAACATGCAAATTGACCATCACTACACTATGCCCACCAGCCAATCCGAATACGTAAATTAACCCAACAAAGATGGCAGTTATTTTGCATTCCCAGACTGAAGCCAGCGAAGAGGAAGAGGGAGGGAAAGTGCAGGGTGGTGGTGGGAGGGAAGCCCACCTTGGTGTACTTCGCTCCTTCTCTGCTTTGCTCAGGCCGCAGGAAGCCCTATTCTTGCAGGAATCTTCCTGCCAATGGGCCTCTAGTGAGTATGTATGTACGTGTGTGTGTGTGTGTGTGTGTGTGTGTGTGTGTGTATTTAAAATGTATAATATGCAAATTGACTGGACAGTGAATTGACCAGTGGGCTATGATGCAAACTGACCACTAGAGGGCAGACGCTCACACAGGAGTTGCCCCCAGACCGCAGGCCCTGATCGCCCAATGGGGGTAGGTGAGTTTTAACATGTTTTGGTCCCTCCAATCAACCTTTTGGTCCCTCCCCCAGGGCGACAGGCTCCGATTGCCCAATGGGGAACCAGGAACTGAAGGTGGGTGGTGGGGGACATGAAAGAAGCCGAAACCCTGGTTGTCTCTCCAGTTGCTTCACACACAGAGGGCAACCAGCATCAGGCAGAGCTGGCTGCCAGCAGCCAGGGAAAATCAGCCCTGATCGCAGGCCAGGCCTAGGGACTGTACCCATGCACAAATTTTGTACATTTGACCTCTAGTATAAAATAATTTTCTGTGATAATTGGTAAGTTCTGTATGTATGCTGTACCATGATAGCCACTAGCCAATTGCAGCTATTGAGCACTAAAATAATGTGGATAATATAACTGAAAAATTTTATGGTTTTTCAAATTTATCTAACTTCAAACTTTAGAATTTAAATAGCCAAATGTGGCTAGAGGTTACTATAATGGACAGTTTAATTTATTTGGTTGCATCATAGTTAATTATATGTTGGCACATGAGGCAAATTAGCTGCATTCATAAAAAGTACTATTTCTCCTACTTATGTGATCTCTCCCCAAAATATATATTAAAAAAATTCCACTTGAACACAAAGTTCCCTTGCAGAGATTGCCAATGGGATGTATACTGAGAGATTATTCCTAGCTCATAAGCTATTTCAACATGGGAAATATAGAGATGCTAGACAAGTAAAGGGACATGATGCAGGCAGCCCCAAAAAGGTCACACAAGTCAAGACATTTCTAAGTCTGCTAAATTACATAGAGTAATTTGTAGCTTCTTTCTTGGAACAAATAATTGCCATGGCAGAAGCAGTGTGGTGTGCCAGTGAGTGTGAATTGTGAATTCAGACTGCCTGGGTTCTAAGGCTATCACTTCCCAACTCTGACAGAGCACTTCACCTCCCTGGGCCTCAGATTAGAGAATCTATCTCAAAGTTGCAATGAGAATCAAGTCAACATTTATAAAGCACTTAGAACAGTTCTCGATATAATGAGTTACCAATGTTTCTGAAAATATCTCCCAAAAGTGCCTTTTAAAAACAGAGAAAGGGACTGAAAGGCGCAAAGTCTTTGCCCCAGGAGCCACCCTGAGCACCCACTAGACAGGCACTGCACTGTGTGCTTTCTCACATAATAAAGGAAACTAAGCTTTAATCAGCCTCTGGTGGTGGTCACCTGTCTCTGAAGTCTCATGGCATTTACTATTTGTGCTTTTAACACTTAAGCTACCCTAAATTGTGCACACACATAAGAAACTATCTATTAGAACGAACAACTTACATTAGGTAAAGACCACAGTGGTTTTTTTAATTACTTATATCCACACCAGTGTCCTACAAATAGCAGGCACTCAATAGTAGCCAGTAAATAAAAATTTAAAATTCTAATTATAAAGAACATTATTACTTTTTCTTCCACAAAAGGATAATGATAATTATGAGCAGTTTTCAAATGAAAAATTTTATTTAGGTACAAATTACTAGTTGATGCAAACCCTTCAAAGGATAAACACTCAAAAAGGTAGATCGTCTTCTCTCTTAGCATCAAAGCCCTTACAAGGATTAGGCCTGCTATAATCCCAAAACCAAAAGCTTACCATCATTAGGCATGGTGAGAATAGGGATTTGAGTAATCGAGCCATTTCTGCCTTCCACACGACCAGCACGTTCATATATTGTGGCTAAATCCGTGTACATGTAACCTGGGAACCCTCGTCGTCCAGGAACCTCTTCCCTGGCTGCTGAAACCTGACGTAGGCCAAGGAGGAGAGTATCACACAACATGGCATATGGAAAGCAAAGCTTTGTTTGCTTGAACATGCCAACTTAGAAAGTTGGAATATTATCTTTTTCATTTTAAATAGTCTCTACGAGATCATTTAGAAAAATCTAGTAACACAATTTCGAGTATTCTGCTGCAAAAATGCTGACAACTGGGACCAGACTTTTTCCCCCGCTAAAATCATGTTGCCAAACCTCCAAATAGCTTGCTAGAAGGAAACAGCTTGCAATTTTATAAACCAAAGGAAGTTAATTTTAAAACTAAGAGAACTGATTAGTTCACAAGGACCTTGCCATTTATATATGTAAGCTAAACCTGAAAAGGTCAAAAGGGAAGGAAATCTATACCAGGGGTCATTTGATGTACTTTACATTCATTATTTAATCCTCACAATAATCCTATGAGGAAGGTAATGTTGTTAATGTCAATTTGTATTAATAGTTAGAATCAAAGGTCAGACAAGTAATTGCCCAAAATCACAGAGCCAGGAGTCCATTCACTGCACAAAATAAGATTAGTAACAAATGGTCTTTCTCTTAGAGACATGCATACTGGAAATAGGTATACCTATTAATCTACAATCACTAAAAACCCAAAACACTAAGGCCAAGTTTAAGTGCTTCCTTCAAAAGAGTGTGCTATAGCAGCGCCACTCAAAGTATAGTCTGCAGACCAGCTCTTATAAATGTGCAATGAGAAAATAAGGTAAGCATTTAGAAAACTTCAATGGCAATTTAAAAGAATAATTTTATGTCTGTTGAATCTAATGAAATTAATCTAGGCTTATAAATTATGTATCTTTTAATTTCACTTTTCTAATAGTTCATTTTAGAAGAGATATTAGTCTACGATTGGTATGGAGAAAGGGGAGTCCTCCACTAAAAAAACTTGGTAGCAGAGTGAGATTTGGTGATGGATCTCAGGCAATTTTAGGAAACGTTTTACATGCTTAAAAGTGTACCTTACTCAACATTTCAGTATCTTACATTAGAACAAACACCCTAAACTTCTGGTGATAACACAAGAATCTTAATATTGTCCTAATTAAACACCGAGTTTACTGAAGGCAAAAGTTCTGAGAACAGTGCTGCCAGAATATGGACTTTATCTATTCAAGTAGTAACATCATTAAGAATAAAATTCTGGAAAAGGTTAAAAATTAACAGTCTGAACAGAGACAGAATTCCTGGGAGAGTAACTGAATAAAGAGCTTGCATCATTTATCATTTACTCTCTCTTAGGATCAAGTCTTAATTCATGGAGACAGTGACAGAATGATAAATAGGCTAATAATTTAAATGTTATCTAATAATTTTAACTAAAGTGACATATAAGTTTTAAAAAATGAAAGAGAAATGAAAACTTGCAAAGGGACAAGATAACCCTGGAAATGAAGCCATTTTAATTAAAAAAAAAAAAAAAAAAGTTACCTCTCGAAGTGCTTCAGCATAAGAACTCATGTCTGTTAGGATAACCAATACATGTTTCTCACACTGATAGGCCAGAAATTCAGCTGTGGTTAGAGCCAAGCGAGGAGTGATAATTCGTTCAATACTGAAATGGAACATTAAGTCCTATGTCACTCAAACAAAAAGGCTAAAAACAAAAGAAAATGAGATTCTGGAAATAATAGTACAATCTCCCTCTAAGTAAATTGAGATGGGTAAATCAATTATTACTTTAAAAGTAAAGCAGCTACTTTATATATTTACATAATAATTTCTTACTCCAACAAAGTTAAATTGGTTATTTTATAATTTCTCAGAACTATATAGTTCTCAAAACAGAGAGAAAGAGGGAGAGAGAGGGAGGGAAGAAGGGAGAAATAGGGTCCAGATTTCTCAATTAAAAGGAAAAGATCATTCACTGAGTACAAATTGTGTACTAGGTAATTTATACATATTATCTCATTTAATATACACAATAACCCTGTGAAACAACTATTATTTGTCACATTTTCTGGAAGAGGAAACTGAGCTTCAGAGACTATCTGATTTGCCCAAAGCCAAATAATTACCAAGAAGCACAACTGGAATTTAGATATGGTTATCTCCTTCTTAAGCCCATGTTGCTTTCATAACATTTTTCCTCCCTAGTCTTAGGTAGCATTTTGGACCTGAAGCCTGAATGAACAGAAAGAAATAGCTCTATTGACTTACGTAGGGTCATTAGCCAAGTTCAAAAAGAGGCAGACGTTGTCCATGGAGCCATTTTCTTCAAAGTCAGATTTGAAGAACCGGGCAGTTTCCATGTTTACCTAAATAGCAATGACTTCATCAGTGCCAGGAGAGGAAACATTCTCAATACTATGTATTTCTGATGAAGGCTAAGATATAGATCTCACTGTTCCTTCCTTTAAAGTTGTCAAGTACTCACACATATTTTTCACAAAAGCCAACAGAGTAAACAGCCTACTTTGGGCACAAAGAGAATTATTCTTACATTTCATAGTCAAATGCCAAATTTTAATCCTTAGTTTGCCCAAAATGCTAACTTGCAACTTCTTTACCATGAGATAAACTCAATGATACATGTGTAGTTTCCTACACTATTCTAATAACATAAGCAACTGATTTTATATTTCATTCTAAACCAGCAAACATTTATACTTACACCCATAGCAGCAAATACAATTGCAAAATTTTCCTCACTGTAGTCCACTACATCTTTGGATTTCTTTACCAAACCAGCCTGGCGACAGATCTGAGCAGCAATCTGATGAGGAGTACAAAAGCACTGAGTTGAAATCTAAAACAACATTTCTACAACAAAGTAACTGTCATCCTAATCTTTTTGAAATTTTAATTATAAATGAAATTGGAATGTTTTAAAGTAGCAGTCACCAACCTTTCAGACCTCATGGACCACTGGTTGGTGATCACTGTTTTAAAGGACTTTATCCAATAAAATTATTTTGCAATTTGCATGCAAAAATTCCTAAGAGTAAGTAAAAAAGAGAGCTATCATCCTATCTAAGAGAAACACGAGAATTGACCATACCTCTACCACGCTCACCAGCCAATCAGGAACAAGTATGCAAATTAACCAAAAAAATGAGGTGGCAACCATAGAGCTGGAGCAAGCAGAAGGCAATGGAGAAAGCCAAGCTTCCTGCCTGCCCTGGCCTCTGCTCAAGGCTACAAAGTTTCTATTATAGAAGATAAATATATTGAAGAGGATGCAGGCTGGGCTGAGGGACACACAACCTTGTGCACTGGGCATCTAATCCTATATAATAAAAGGCTAATATGCAAATTGTCCCCTCAATCGGGAGTTGACCAGTCCACAACCCCCCCCCCCCCCCGCCAGCCCTGCCCCCAATCAGCTTCCCCCCATCCCCCAATCAGGGCAGGCCGGTTAGACTCCACTGTACAGGAATTTGTGCACTGGACCTGTAATTTGATTATATAAACAGTAACACTGGGGATTAACACGTTAAGTACCCAGCCTGTTTTGTCTTCCGGACAGATAGTGTCAGTCATCGGTGACTGACTAGGTGCTTAACCCCTTTGGTTTCTCACTAATGTCAAGCATTTAGGAATTCTTGCTTGTTAAACTTCATACCAAACAGACCCTAATTCTCACCTCATTGTGTGGTAAGCCAGCAGCAGAGAATATAGGAATTTTCTGTCCTCTAGCAATACTGTTCATGCCATCTATGGCCGAGATGCCGGTCTGAATCATCTCCTCTGGGTAGATTCGACACTGAGGATTGATTGGCTGGCCTAATGAATTTCCAAAAATTAAGGGGGGAAATTTTAATATGTCTGTATAAGAAGACTAAAATATATAAAGCATTTCTTTCTACTCTTAAAATATTAGTTATTTTCTGAAGTCTGAAACTGTTTAGATAATTTTTTCCATTAGTCTTGATTAGACTCATGAAATATTGATAGTGCAACTCAAGTTCCTAAAGTGAAGTAGAGGTATAGCAAATAAGAGAGCAATGCTCAATGCCATGGCTTTATTATTTACATTCCTAATATAATATTAAGATATTTATATAAAACTTTAAGATTATCTCTAGGAAAAAATAAATTTATTAATTAAGAAGTAATTAATTATGGAGCAAGTTGGTTATCAACTTAAAGTATTACAAAAAAATCACTCTCTGGCAAAGATATAAGCTAGACAGATAAAGGCCATTTTCCACAAAACACAGAATCCCATTTACTGTCCTCACCCATGATGTCAAGGAAGTCTTCAGCCAGCACAACAGGACCTCTGTCGATCGGTTTTCCTGACCCATTGAATACCCGACCTGTACAAGTGAACAATGTTATAAATATTCATCATTTTTTTTTTAAAGATTTTATGTAAACGTGTTGAAAAGGAAACAGATCTCTGCTCAGAATGAATAATATCAACTTACCAAGCATATCCTCAGACACTGGTGTTCGGAGAATATCCCCAGTAAACTCACAGGATGTTTTCCTGGCATCTATACCTGAAGTCCCTTCAAATACCTACCAAAAAAAGAGGGTAAAAGAAATGTAAATTTTGTCAGCCCTTATAAACTCAAATACATAAATGTACACTATTTTTAGTATCACAAACACAACCTCTTGACAAAAGTTGTGTATGAAGGACATCCAATCCTACAAACAACCTAAGAATTTTTTTTTTTACATTTTTAAATAACCGTTTAATTTAAAAAAATAAAGAATAAAAAGATGCATCAGAAACCTTAGGTGGCTCCACAAACCCTAAAAACTTTACTATCTGACCCTTTACCAAAATTTTGCTGACCCTTGCTCTAGATTACTTTGTAAGGAAACATATTATTTGAGAAAAATGCATTACTGTAAGCAGTAATAATAAAAACTAGGGAAATAGGAGACAATATAAAGAATCAGATCCTGTTTTGGTTTTATTCCATAAGCTTGAATTCTGCTTTTCTTCTCTCTCCTTCTATGTGGTCATCTACTTCATTTTATCCATTAAAAAAAAAAAAAAAGCCATTTTACCAGTGAAGCTATTGAGTTAGAATCTAGAATAAAAGTGGTTGACATCTGATAAGAAACATACAAAAATATTTTTTTTCTTTCACAGACATACTTACTCAATGACAAGAAAAAACATGCAGTGTTCCTTACATTTTTGTGATTATGAAAAAGTTCAACTGACCAGTTATTAAAATCATGCTTACCTGAACCACTGCTTTGGAACCACTAACTTCTAGAACTTGCCCACTTCTCTTTGTGCCATCTGGTAATGTCAAGTGAACAATCTCAGCATATCTGGGAAACTAAGAAAGAAAAAAAAAAAAAAAAAAAAAAAAAGGATCAATAACTTACTACAGGGTTAGAGGTTAAAGTTAGATTTAGGAGTAGGTTAAATACTCCAAAATATTCCATGTGCTCTATCTCCATCATAGCATGTAACCATATGCAACCCCACCACCTCCCTGACACACAAAGGTACACCTGAGAGTTGATGACATCCTCAAGTAGTTTAAGTCCTTAAAAACACCAATCACTGGTATACACATTGGCAAAGCAGCATAAGGTAGATGAGGGTCTTAAATTTGTGAAAACACAGCAATTAAAATATTTTCTTCTGTGTATATTTTAAAATTTTGATATTATAGAAACTTATATATAACCATGTTCCCCCTACTCAGAAGTATTGTTTGTTGTGTGGATGTGTGTGTAATCTCCTGCATGTATTGGAGGCAGAGGGATAAAATGCAATTAAATAATTCTCCTATGTAAACAAAGTGTAATATGCAAATTGACTATTAAGGCAGAACAACTGGGAAGGAACAGTGACTATGGCATGCACTGACTACCAGGGGCAGGCATTCAACGCAGGAGCTGCCCGCTGGTGGTCAGTTCGCTTACATAGGGGAAGCGCCGCTTAGCAAGAAGCCAAGAAGCCGGCTCATGACTGGTCAGTGCAGTGGTGGTGGCGGGAGGCTTTCCGCCTCTGCAGCAACATTAAACTGTTAATCAGACATCCCCAAGGTCTCCCGGGCTGCTAGAGGGATGTCTGCCTGCCAGCTTAGGCGCGATCCCCTCGGGAGTAGGCCTAAGCCAGCAGGCGGACATCTCCCGAGGGGTTCTGAACTGCAAGAGGGCACATGCTGGGCCTACGGACCCCCACGCCCCACCGTTGAGTGCACTGGGCCTCTAGTGGCTATTACAATATGGTAACATTAACGTTCCCTCCTCGATCTAACTCTCCTAACCAGATAAGAATTTCTTCTATCTGTTCTTAATATCTTATTTTTAAAATATATTATATTGATTTTTTACAGAGAGGAAGGAGAGAGATAGAGAGGCAAAAACATCGATGAGAGAGAAACATCGACCAGCTGCCTCCTGCACACCCTCTACTGGGGATGTGCCCTCAACCAATGTACATGCCCTTGACCGGAATCGAACCTGGGACCTTTCCGTCCGCAGACCGATGCTCTATCCACTGAGCCAAACCGGTTTTGGCTGTTCTTAATATTTTAAATGCATATTTCTAAAAATATAGTGTGGTTTCATTTATATAAATGACAACATACTAAATATTTCACCTTCTACCTTTTTTTATTTAACATTGTGTTTTGGGTCTGTCATGGTAATACTGACCTTATTTTGTCAACACATTCTATTGAAAGATGTACCACCATTTTGTGTGAAGAAAAACATCTGCCAATTAAACTATGACAGACTGTTGATTATAACTTGATTTTGGAAAGGCTAACCATTTAAAATATATGGTCAGCTTAGAATTGATGTTATTAATAAAACAGATGTAGTGAAAATAAAATAACACAAAAAGGAGGACATATGTAATACTTCCAACAATAAAGATTTTTTTAAAAATCAAATGACACCATATTTTATTCAGTTGCTCTACCAATGGATTTCAAGGATGAACATTCTCCCATGTGCTCTGCATGCACGTGTGCCTGACTTCCCCTAAGGCAGTAGTTGGCAAACTCATTAGTCAACAGAGCCAAATATCAACAATACGATTGAAATTTCTTCTGAGAGCCAAATTTTTTTAACTTAATCTTTTTCTAACGCCACTTCTTCAAAATAGACTCACCCAGGCCGTTGTATTTTGTAAGAGCCACACTCAAGGGGTCAAAGAGCTGCGTGTGGCTCATGAGCCGCAGTTTGCTGACCACAGCCCTCGTAGTACACAAAAGTATATTTTCCCTACATCTCTGCTAGCTTACATAATTACTATTAAACCTTAACTTTTGCTATTTAGCTAAGTAAAAAATAGCATCTTTTCAAATTGCATTTTCCTGATTCTACTAATATTGAGCATCTTTTCACGTTTACTGACAATTCTGACTTTATTCCCGATTACTGGCTTATTGCTATCTTTTCCTCACTTTTCAACTGGATCTGCTTTTTCTTATTTTTACGAGTTTATAGATTCTGCACTAAGCTTTTTGCAAATATCTGTTCCAAGTCAGTCTCTTATTTTTTAATTTTGTTTATGGTATCTTATCATATGAAGTTTTAAAACTTTTTATGGAATAAAATAATTTGTTTTCCTTTATAATGTGTACCTTTTATTTACTGTTGAGAAGTCATTAAAATGACTGAATTCTTCTGTACTGTCTTCTAAAATAGGTTTTTCATGTTCAGGCCTTTAATCCATCTGGATTTATTTTTGCTATGTAATTTTACCTTTCTCATTTTTATTCTTTTGCATTTAAGAAGCCAAATGTCCTAAGAATATTTATTGAGTAGCACAAAATGTCTCCCACTGGCTGTAATGTAGCCTTTACTATTTACTAAGTCCAATTTTCTTGTGTGAGACAACTTCTTAATTTTGCTCCACTGATATATTTGCTTATTCATGCACCAAATTTCTATTCCTGATTATTCTATCTCTAACTGATTTTGTTACCTGGGGAAAATTAACATCTTCGCTATTCTGTCATTCATGAACATGGAATTTACACTTAAGATTTTCTGTTATGTCTTTCAACGGTTTTATAATTTTCTGTAACACATACCTATGAGGTAGCAGCGAGAAAAATTTTTTTTTAATTGTGCAGACAAAGGACCCTCAGGCACAAACAGAATCCACAGCAGATCCAGCACTGGAATCCTGTCTTCTTATTTTTTATCTAAAACTCTTGGCTCCTATATAGCACTGACATTCAGACCCAAGGAATGGCTTAAAAATCATACCATAAGACTTAAAGTATTCTTAAACAGGACTTAATGCCAGGTTTTAAGCTTCATAAATGGTTAAACAATGTTGGTGGTACATTACCTTAACATGGTCCAAGATCACTAGTGGACCATTGACTCCTGATACTGTCTTGTATGCTGGAAAGAAAAACAGAAGAGCCCACTTTAGTCAAATAGAACAACAGCCTAAATTATCTCTCTGGGATTACAAGAAAACCTCTCTCCACTTTACCACACCTATTATAATATGGAGCAAACAGTTACAAATTTTTTTTAAATTTAAAATTAAATATGCCTGTGCCTGTACATCTTTTCATAACCTACCTACATCCAACCAAAAACATTTTGAATCCTTACTATAAATCACAATATTTTAAAAACCCAAGACACAAAAACAAAAAAGGCACAGAGGAACAGATTTCCCTTAAGAGTTCAGTTTTACATGGAGAAGAGGGGAGTTAAGAACCCTAACAGATGTGCAGAGGGCTTGTGGAAGCACAGGAAAAACCTAGCTGTCATTCTCACCTTGAAGAGAAAAGAAAGACTTTGTAGAGGAGGTGGCACTTACCAAAGTAGACAAGGAAGAGGAGGGGAATACTCAACAAGTGACAAAACTCACAACGGAAATCTGAGATAATGCAGTGTTGAAGTAAAAAGCTACCATTAAATGCTATCTTAGAAACTATGAGAAAATTGCTTTATTAAGGAGGAGGGAGTGAGCAATGGAATGAAAGGCCAGAGGGTCAAATAAGGAAAGTATCCTTAAAAAAAAAAAAAAAAAAAAAAAAAAGTTAAATGTTACTGTCAGTTTAGAGGCTTATATTTTCCACTGGAAATTATGCCCTTGGAATAAAGTGCCAGGCTGTAAGGTAGCTAATCCCAGGGCAGCTATCCTTCAACCATAATTGGAATTAGGTGTAAAACAGAACACTCCAGAGAGAGTAAGTCATATCACAATCAACTAAATTTATAGTCAGAACAGCTGAAAACAAATAAAATAAGTGAAGACTTAGTAGTAACAAGGCCTAAAATAATTTCTAAGGAGCTGTCAACCAACTGGGAACTTTTCACTTGTTTGATTTCTTATGGAGTCTCGCAGAGATTTCTGGCACAGATGTAGACTCCCAAGAATGAAGAAACCATTTAATAACCAGTCAGTTCACCCAAGAGGCTCCAGAACTCAAAAACACAGGTAGAAACATGGCAAGCAATCAGGCCCCTTGGCTTTCATACTCACAGGACATTTAAATCCTGACACCAAATATTTGCTTGAGTACATTTGTAATTATAATTATCTCATCAGGACTCCAAAATGACTTTTTAAAATAAACAACAAAAAAAAAACAACAACTGTAGACAAAAGGCAAGTCACAAATTTAAAAAGTTAAGTTACTTGAGTGGATGATAATGTAAAAGAATAAGTCATTCCTTAAAAATTACTAGAAAGACCCCAAGTGTCATATTTTCTGCTACTTTTATAAAAATCCACTCCATCATTTTAAAATAATCTAATACTCTTAAAAATAATTCCTAACCCTGAAAAATTACCCATTGTTCTCATTTTAAGAATCCAAACATTCTATCAGTGACTTCTAAAATTGCTATGCAGAAAAGCAAAATGAGCTACTTTAGAAACAGGTTATCTTAGAACCTAGTTTTAAAAAATACAGAAACAGAGACCTTTTCAAAATTTTTACCTAAACATTTGGGGATAAAAGGAGTGGGCTGGTTAGGAGGCATGATCTAGTTTTGAGATTTATAGACAAATGTAAGCAACAGATTCTGAAAGTCTCTACCTTTTGAACAAGACTTACGTCTCCTTTGAACTTCTAACCTCTACAAAAATGTTTCAGAATCTCATGTTTAAATTTAAGCTCATTCAAAATTATGAAGTTTTGCCAGTCACGAGCAAAAGCATGACCAAAAAAAAAAAAAAAAAAAGAAACACTAGTCATTGCTTTTCCTGGAAACAGTGAACAAAGCTGACTTCTACACAAGACAAGGTTTCTATTTCATCAAGAATCTCTAAACTTGCAACAAATTTAATTTTTCAATTATAGTTTACATCAATATTATTAATAGTTTCAGGTGTACAGTACAGAATCATGTATTTTGCAAAGTGACCCCCCCCCATATTTCCAGTACCCATCATACAATAGCTATTACAATATTATTGACTATAAATCCTATGCTATACTTTACATACTATGTAGCCTTTTAAAAAGCCAGTAACTATTTGAATTCATTAACACCAACACTAATAACTACTTATAAGAAATTCTTATTTAATCTCCATAATAGAGCTATGAGTTAACTATTATTCCAAGTTTTAGAAGAGAAAAATGACTCTCAGAAATTAAGTAACTTGCCCAAGCATCTGAACTTATATGGTCTGGCTCCAGAGTCATTTCTTCTTTAACTCTGACCTGCAGTTCAAATTAAAACTGAACTTCTTTTTTGGTCTGGTAGACTCATAATTATTTGCAAGACTTATGTAGCTATAGCACTCAAAATAATTTCATGAAATCTGCATCTTTAGCTATTAAAAAGTAAGTTATTTTTACTAAACACACTGCCCAATGATTCCCTTTGTGTTCATATTTTGTCATTACTGGAAAACAATCTGTCTTCAATGGAGTGTAGCCACTGGAGAGTGTAAGCAGAGGAAAGAATCTAATGGAGACGCTTCAGCAGTTTTCCCTCACTGGAAAACATGAAAAACAAGAGACTACTTCAGATACAAATCAGAGGTTAAGCAACATGCTTGGTTTAAATTAAACTGACATAACAAAGTAAACTAGTAAGTGTTATAACCCAAACTAAGTAAAAAACATTACCAAACGAAAACGTGGAAAGTACATCAGACTTTTACAGAGCCTCTTTAGAAAAGTTACCTTATTTCAGCTCCCCAAAACTGGGAGGTAGGCAAGGTTGAAACACCCACTCTACACTTAAACTAAGGCTCTGAGAAATTTGTTATTAAGTGGGAAAGCTGGGATTAGGACTGTTTTTTTGTCTTGTATGTTGTTTTCCTAATTCTAAAGTTGGTACCCTATGACCCTATAAGATTTCTGAACTCAGTCTGTAGTATAATTAAAAAATATGGAGATGACCCAGTTTCAATCACTTGGACTACAAATAAATACTAGGAGATAATTTATATACAAATTATAGCTCTTTCCTCTAATATTCAAACAATTTCCAAAAAAGAAAAACAAAAAACAAGCAGAGAAAATGCTATCAAGCATTACCTTTTATCTCTCAAAGTATAGCTTTTCTCACCATTATCATTAATAGTCCAAAGCAGAGATAACAGTTTAGAGTAGGGCTGCCAAAGACATTCCTGCTCATCAAAAAAGTAAAAACCCATTTACAGATTACATGGACATTTTTAAAAAAATAAATTTTTATTGTTCATATTACAAATCTTCCTTTTTTTTCCCCACCATTGCTCTCCTCCACCAGGTTCCCACCCCACCCTCTGCCCTTTCCACACCCCCCATTGTCCTCATCCATAGGTGCACAGTTTATGTTCAGTCTCTTCCCACATCCTCCCTCCCCTTTTCCCCAAGAATCGTCAGTTCACTCCCCTTCCATACCTCTGATTCTATTATATTCAAGAGTTAATATTGTTCATTAGATTTTTTTTAATTTCCTTGGTTTTTAGATTCACTTGTTGATAGTTACGTATTTGTTGTTCATAATTTTTATCTTTATTTACTTTCTCTTCTGAAAGAACCCCCTTCAGCAATTCATATAATTCTGGTTTGATGGTGATGAACTCCTTTAGTTTTTTTTTTATTAGTGAAGTTCTTTATCTGACCTTTGATTCTGATAGCTTTGCTGGATAGATTATCTTTGGCTGTAGGTACTTACTATTCATCACCTTGAATATTTCTTGCCATTCCCGTTTGGCCTGCATGGTTTCTGTTGAGAAATCAGCTGACAATCGTATAGGTGCTCCTTTATAGGTAACTATCTTCTTTGCTCTTGCTGCTTTTAATATTCTCTCTTTGTCTTTTGCTCTTGGAATTTTAATTATGATTTGTCTTGGTGTGGTCCTCTTTGGATTCCTTTTGTTTGGAGTTCTGTGCGCTTCCTGGACTTGTAAGTCTAATTCTTTCATCAGGTGGGGGAAGTTTTCTGTCACTATTTCTTTCAGTATGTTTTCGATATCTTGCTCTCTCTCATCTTCTGGGACCCCCATAATTCTGATGTTGGTTCGCTTGAAGTTGTCCCAGAAGTTTCTTACCTTATCTTCAATTTTCTGGATTCTCTTGCCTTCTAGCTTCTGTGGAGGAGTGTCTTCGGACTCTTTGTTCCAAATCTTTGACTTGATTCTTGCGATCTTCCATTCTGTTTTTAGGACTCTGTATAATATTTTTTATTTCAGACAATGTATTCTTTATTTCTTGTTGATCCCTTATCATTTCTTGTTGATCCCTTATCATTTCTTGTTGATCTCTTTTCATATCCTCATAGGTCTTATCAATCTTTTCTAGAAAATTCTTGAAAAACCTATAAGCGTAGATTTGAACTTTATATCCAGTCACTTTTTGTCCTCCATTTCTTTCCTTTGTGATCTATTTTGTTGTCGCATTTCGCAGCTACAGATGGGGCGGAGTTTCAGGGTGGAGCCTACAGCCTTGGCTTATGTCAGCCCCGCCCTATGCGGCTCCTGGGTCTCAGGGTCCTTCAGTACTCGTTGCAAGCGCCTCTGAGAGAAAGGTGCCCTCAATTTTCGCCTGCTACCAAACAGTCTAGGCTCTCCCCCAGTGAGCCCGGAACTGGGGTTCAGTTCAGTTGGAAGTGGAGTTGGAGGTGGCGTTCAGAGCAGTCTGGAGCCCGTCTCCTTCCAGCCAGGGCAATTCCTCGGCACAGCCAACCTTCCCTTCTCTGCGCGCAATGTGTGCGCGCCTCCGGGACCTCCTTTCGCCGCTCCCCCAGGTTCCGCCTTACAGCCCAGCTCCCTCTGTTTGAGCTTGGGTCCCCGGGATCTGGCCTAGAACTGGGGTTCAGAGCAGTCAGAACTGGGGCCCAACACAGTCGGAGCTTTTATTTCCTACCTGCTAGGGAAAGCCAGCCAGGCACTCAGCTGCCCCTCCTCTCCAGCTCCGTCCTCTCTGTGTGCGCCGCATGTCTCCATACCTTAGGCTTTTACAGCTCCTCCGCGCTTCCTTCTGGTTTTCTCCTTGCTTCTCGTTGTAGAATTTCCAGTCAGTCGACTTTCCTGTAGTTCTGGGTAATGTCCATTTTATTTATTTATTTATTTATTTATTTATTTATTTAATATATTTTATTGATTTTTTTACAGAGAGGAAGGGAGAGAGATAACTAGAAACGTCGAGAGAGAAACATCGACCAGCTGTAGTTCTGGGTAATGTCCATTTTATTTATTTATTTATTTATTTATTTATTTAATATATTTTATTGATTTTTTTACAGAGAGGAAGGGAGAGAGATAGCTAGAAACGTCGAGAGAGAAACATCGACCAGCTGCCTCTTGCACACCCCCTACCGGGGATGTGCCCGCAACCAATGTACATGCCCCTGACCGGAATTGAACCTGGGACCTTTCAGTCCGCAGACCGACACTCTACCACTGAGCCAAACCGGTTTCAGCGTAATGTCCATTTTATATTTTAGTTGTATTTTATTGAAATTGTTGTGTGCGGCTGAGGCTAGGTGTTTACCTGGGCAGCCATCTTGGATTCTCTCCCCACCAAGGAGTTTTAAAGTAAAGTTTATTCCCCAGTAATGAGCGGGACTCATTACGGAGGTAGAGAAATCAAAATTGAAGGAGTTGGGAGGGGGATGGACCCAGCCGAGTTGCCATCTGGACATGGAGGATCAGCAGCCTACATGGACATTTCTATTTACCAAAATAATGGCCATTCTTCTCCTGAAAATGTCCAAATGAACAAGAATTTGGGTCTGCAGGGGTTGATCAGAACTCCTGACAACACAGCAGATATATGTTTACATTATACTAGAGGCCTGATGCAGGAATTCCTGCACCAGTGGGGTCCGGCTAGCTCGCCCCGATTGGGGCCCATCAGACCAGGTTTGAGGGGGTAGCGGGGAGTCCTTGGCCTGCCAGCCCTGCCCCCTGGTCAAACTCCCAGTTGAACTCCTGGTTGAGGGGGAAATTTGCTATTAGCCTTTTATTATATAGGAGGATACCTAACACATTTTACAACCAACAAGTCACATTTCTGATTTGGAACTATCAAGCAGGCAATATATATTTATGGGTGACATTTAAAACCAAAGTCTACAAAGAAGCAGGTTTTGTCAAAAGACATCCTCTTTCTCCTGCAGGATATGAGATTATTCAGCACAACTTAATGATTGTGAAATTTGTAAAGAGAAAATCTACAGCCATTGCACAAGAGACCTAGTCCTTCAGCTTCCACCTTATTACCAAATCAAAAACCCAGAGCAATCATCTTCCATTGTGCAAGGGTATATACCCACACCCTGAGCAGTGGGCATTGAAGGAGCGGTTCTAGAAAAAGCAGGCCAATGATTCCTTTATTTGACCTGCCTGGGGCTAGCTCTGCTGTGTGATGTAAGAAACAAGGTAAGTTATCCTAGCTAGGGTCTCAAGAACAGTAAAATGTTTCACTTCCAAAAGCTCGCTCTATGTTATTGAACCTTGCTCAAAGTTTAAAAGAAAATCAGGTTACCTTTCCCTGACTTTAGAAATTCAACTAAAGTGCTCAAGATTATATCAATCCTGCACATCTTGTTTTCCATTTCTTGTTAACAGCCCCATAATCCTGAAATTGTTTTAAAACAGGACCCAATTTGCACAGAGTAATTGCTAATATTTACTCCATTCCTTCCTTTAAAGAGCACATTAAATTACTATACCGTATCACTAAACACGGTATCATGATTAATTAAAAAAATTAATCAATATTCACAAGCAATTAAAATTATTAACTAGAATCAAAAGGTGGTAATGCAGGTAAAAAGGTATTTTGCAAATGTGATTAGCTGTTACCCTAGGTATGAATATCATTTATGCTTTTTAGAATAAACCAGACAAGAGGGAAATTCAACTCAACCAAGTATCCCAATTCCTTACTCTACCTAATTCCATCCAGGTTAAGAATCTATCCACCAAACCATTAGAACAAGAGGTTTAAATGCAAGTTATACAACAAAGTTCAAAACAGGGTAAGTACTTCTATGTATCAAGCACTTGCTAGGCACTGAGGATACAAGAAGGATTCCTGACCTCTAAATCTAAAGGTTGAGTTTCAAGAATTACGTTGCAACACTTCTTTCAGGAGAACTCTCATCTGCAGTTCTCCGGCCACTGGCTGGGCATACAGAACACAGAGATACCTGCTCATCTCCCCTTAAGGGCTCACAATCTTCATCATAAACTCTCTAAACAACATTATTTCAGTTGATACTCTCTGAATTGATACTAAATGAATAATTATATGTAAACTGACTACTGCTCCCTTATAATTTTTTTTTTTCTACAAGCATCATTAATGCCTCTCTCTTCTACCCAAAGCAAAACACACAAATGCAATTCCTAAGGGAATTTGTAATTGTTAGTTATAAACTTATGGTTAAAGTCCACATTAGAACGCAACGCCTGTTAATTTCCTGAAACATTTATATCAGCTCCTATAAACCCCCCCAACAAGCATTCAGCTCATTCCCACTGTAAAAAGCACATCTCAGGCAAACCAAAGAATCCAGGGTTTTCCTTCCCTCACACTGCAGTGCTGTCACATGACCCAGTGACAGATCAGGATGGGATTAGTCAGGCAGGAGAAAAACCCTCCATCTGCAATTCTTCTCAACCAAGGAGCCACCCACAAACAGGAACTCTGGCAATTAACCAGTGCAAATATGGTCCTGCCACCTGGGGAAACATCAGGTGCTTTCCCAAGTTTTGAGTCTATTTCCAGGGCTCATCCCCAGTTCCTAAGAAAGCCGTGAAGAGAGGTTTGAAGCTACACGGCTGTACTGCTTATTAAGCAAGAGCCATTTCTGGTCCATTAAGGCCTTTTTACACACAGCAACGCTTACACATGCCTATGCATTACGCGTTATATAATATGAGCAAAAGATGTCAGGTTTTTCCCAAGGCCACCTTCCACCAAACCAAGTTGGCTTAATTGGCCAGTAGCTGCAAAGGTACAAATAAAAAGGCCTTGCTAGAATGAAGAAACGTGGAATTTTAGTTTCCTGCTCTGCCCATAACTAGGTGTCTGAAGCCTGGCAAGCCCTGTCCCTCCAGGAACCTTCGGTTTCTCTGCTGTAAAATGAGAGGGTTAGGCTAGATAAGCGGCAGGGTACTTTTCAGCTCTCGCGTTCTGCGATAGGGAGGTGTCCTGCGGCCGAACAGCCTCCCTCCCTCTCCACCGAGCATCTCCCTCCGGCCACGGACCGACCTCCATCCCTGAGAGGCCGGACCGACCACGTCAGCGGCAGCACCGCATCTTCGCCCCGAGGTCCCCGCCACGGAGCGCGCAGATGGGCAGGGGCGTTCCCTCGACCCCTACATGTCCAAAGCGAAGGTCAAGCGATGATTGAGATGGAGGGACCCGGAGCGGCCTTCCCACAGAGACACAAGAAGCAAGTGCCTAGACGGCCCCAGCCCGGGGGCGCCGGGGAGGGCGGAGCGGCCGCCAGGAGCCCACCAACCCCGGGAGGAAGTCCCCGCACCAGCGCTTTCCCGCACGGAAATGTGAAGCCACTCTCAGTCTTTTTCTAGAGAGAGACGTGCGGGCGAGAGGAGAGGGGGACGAGAGAAGGAAAGATAAATCCTCCCCCCGCCCGCCCCAGGCGCTGGCTAAGCAGGTGAGTAGGAAGGAGCAAGGGGCTGGGCGGATCCATCTTGCTCTCTGATACTCACTGAGGCGAGGCTGGGACAGGTAGTTCCGACTCGCTGCCATCGCCTGCTCCCAAGAGCCCGCCCCCGCCCCGGCCCCACTGGTGGGCACGGGCATCTCGGGTGCGGCCCCGTTCACGATCCCCCGCATCACTCGCAGCGCCATCTTGTCTCCTCCGTCCCGACTGGCCCCGCAGCGGCGCCGCGCAGGCGCAGATATAGCGGCGGCGGCCCGCGCCCCCGGCCCCGCCCATGCGCGCTGCGGCGCCTCGGCTTGGCCCCGCCTCCCTCGCCGGCGCGCGGCCGGCGGCCTCGTGACTCCGGATCCGCGTGGGCGGGACTGAGCCTGCGCGCCGGCCGGAGGGAGCTGACCAGCGTGCTGGGGGGAGGGTGCCCAGCCGGGGAGAGGGAAGCAGAAGCGAAAGAGGGACCTAGGGAGAAAGGCAAGCTCTCAGGGAGAAATGAGGAAAACGGACGCATATAAAGGGGTGGGGGAGGGGGAGGAAAGGCAAGTCCGAGCAAGAAAAGGTCAAATAACGTCCATTTTATTTTATTTTTTATTTTTTTAATATATATTTTATTGATTTTTTTTTTTTTTACAGAGGAAGAGAGAGGGATAGAGTTAGAAACATCGATGAGAGAGAAACATCAATCAGCTGCCTCTTGCACATCCGCTACTGGGGATGTGCCCACAACCAAGGTACATGCCCTTGACGGGAATCGAACCTGGAACCCTTCAGTCCGCAGGCCGATGCTCTATCCACTGAGCCAAACCGGTTTTGGCAAACGTCCATTTTATAATGGCATTTCATGATGTTGAATGAAGAGACCTCAAATTCTAACAACACTTGGAAACGTTAAACACTATTAAAATAAAATAAGGTGCTATGTGCCATCATATTGTTTACTATCTTCCTGTTCAATTCATTCACTCATCTATCACTCAAAAAACCTGTTTTAGGGTGATGGTAGCAGTGTGATAAAAAAAAAAAAAAAAGAAAAAGAAAAAAAGGAGGGGGATGAATTTGGAAACAAAGAGACAGAACAAACAGAAGAGAAACCAGCTGGCTGTGGAAGGGATCAGCCCAGGATTGGAGCCTGAGTGACTGAATGGATTGTAGGGGAGAAGGGAGGGAGGAACTTTGCTGGTGGTGAAGCAGGAAAAAAGCTAATTATTTGGGGACCTGTTTAGTTGTTTCCCGTGGAATATTCAGAATGAGATTTCTATTGGACCATAAAGGTAAAGATTCCAGGAGAAGATACCTGGGCTGAGCTGAGATCAACATCTGTGACTTACCATCATGCTGGGGACATATAAATAAAAGAGATAAAACAGTATGTTGTGGAAAGATGCTAATGATTAACTTCTAAGGAACTTCTGAGACTAGGGGATGTACAAAAAAAAGTTTATTTTAGGGGCATCTCATTTCTATGATCTTTGGTATAAATGCCCACAACCCTTTTGAACAACACCACTGAAGCATATTAAGAAACTTATTCCTTAATTTTGAGTGAGACCGAACATCATTTCAGTATCTATAACAATCATCTGTAACAATAAAAGGGTAGTATGCTAATTAGACTTCTGGATGTCCTTCCTGGCGAAGCTGGGCTGGAGGGAAGCCAGCCCAGGTCCTGGGTGCCTGCCAGCAACTGGAAGAGGGAAGCAGCCCAGGTCCCAGAGGGAAGCTGGTGCCAGCGGCCATGGTAGGAAGGCCTACCTTGCATGAATTTCATGCATCGGGCCTCTAGTATCTTATAATTAAAAGGCAAAACAATACTAAATGCCACTTTGTTCTATTTCATGAGACTGACTCAAGAGATTAAGGAAGGGACATGAAAGGGGTTCCCACAATATTGTATACCAACAATCTTAAATTAAAAAAATAAAGAAAATGAAAACCTAAATGATAGACTTTTCATCTATATAATTACAAAAAAAAAATCACAGAAAAGCAGGGAGAGTAGAACCTGCAGGAGTGGGAGCAGGGAGGGTATATTTTGAAGGAGGATCTCAGGACAAGGCACTGGCAAATGTTTTAAGAAAGAGAATTATGCACAGCAGTATGGCTCAGTGGATTGAGCACAGTCCCATGCACACCAAGAGGCTCCATCTCTAATAGGAGATTAATGTTTCTTTCTCACCAGCGTTACTTCCTCTCTCTCTCCCTTCCTCTTTCTAGAAATCAATAAAAACATATTTAAAAAAAAAAGAGATTAAGGAAACAAGAATTTCCCATTTTATTGTTAAAAGTATAATTGGTATAATTGGAAGAGCAATTTGGTGGTATCAGACTCAAATATTTTATTGTTAGAAACTTAACCTATCCTTAGGGAAATTATATATATTAGAGTATATATGACAAATATTTCTACTTTTAATTTAATAACCTATTGTTTCAATTCTTTAATATATGTTCTATTGATATTTTTCAAGTAAAATGTATGATATCTTTTTAAAATTTCTTTATTGATTAAGGTATCACAAATTTGTCCTCATCCCCCCATTCCCATCCCAAACCTCTCCCCACGCATGCCCCCACACCCCTGTTGTCCGTGACCACTGGTTAGGCTCATATGCATGCATACAAGTCCTTTGGTTGATCTTGTATGATATCTTTTTAATAAAAGTTATAAATCTGCTCTTCTCATGCTAGTTTTTCACAATAGGTAACTTTCAGATATGACTCTCAGACTGTTAGCTATCATTACAAAACTTTCATCCTTTTCTTTTAGGAGTAGTTCAAGATGTTTTTAAAAATTTTTCTTTAACTTTTCACTCTGTGAGCAGGAATTAGTTATAGTCTATATTACATAAGCCAAGTATTAACTCTTAAACAAATATTTGGACAATTTATTATGTGTACTGATTATTGTTCTAAGTCCTAGAGATATACAAAGTCCCCGTCCTCATGGCACTCACAGAGGGGAAAAGTCAGAAGAATAAAATGTCTGGTAGAGACAAGTGTGATGAAAAATAATAAAACAGGGGTGACGGGTAAGAGTGATCAGGATAGATTTTAGATAGTATGGTCATGGAAGGCCCCTATCAGCTGTCTAAGATCTAAAATGAAGAGAGAAAGAACATCATGAGAAGCTCCAGAAGAGGTGTGATCCATGTAGAGGGGAATGTACGTGGAAAAGTCCTGAGTCAGAAGGAAAGTGGGGTTGGAAAGGATAATACTAAGCAGAGAGCTGTACGTAGAAGAGGGGCCTGGACCAGGTCAATAGGACCTTGGAAGCAATGGATAGAGGTTTGAATTTTATTCTGAGTTTGATGATAGGGTTTTACAAAGGAATAATGTGACCTGATTAGGCTTTTAAAAGAAAACTGAAAACTAATCAGAAAGAACGTATGCACCTCTATGTTCAAAGCAGCACAGTTTCCAATAGCTAAGAACTGGAAACAGCCCGAGTCCCCATCAGTAGGTGAGTGGATAAAAAAAAGCTGTGGTACATGTATACCAGGGAATTTATGCAGCAGTAAAAAAGAAGAATCGCTTACCATTTGAGACAGCATGGAGGAACCTAAAGAGTATCATGCTAGGTGAAATAAGTCAATCAGAGAAAGACAAGTATCATATGATCTCACTCATTTGTGGAATCTAATGAACAAAATAAACTGATGAACAGAGTGGATCCAGAGACATGGAAACATGGAACAGAGTGAGGAATCTCATACAGAAGATGGGGGAAGGTGGGTGAGTGGGAAATATTCAACCAAGAACTTTGTATGAATATATGCATGGCCCATGGCCACAGACAATGGGGCTGTGAGGGCCTGGGGTGGGATATGGGGGCGGGCTGGAGGGGGTCAATGAAGAAAAAGAGGGTCATATTCAATACTTTCCACAATAAAGAATTATTTTTAAAGTACTTTATTAATAGGTAAGAAAGACAAAGAATAAAACAAATGTTTTGAACATTTAAATATATGCAGGAAATTATGGAAAATGTTAGTTTTTCTAATAAAAAGAAATTAAAAGTGAAACAACCATGAGGTTCTACTGTATCTTTTAAATTAGCAAAATCAACCAAGAGATGCTTTTTGGAAGAGTTAGGGTCTAAGAAGTGAGCCAGCACATTGCTCCTGGCTTTGTAAATTGGCCAGTGCTTCTGGAGATTAATCTGGTATGGGCCAGGGATCATAAAGTTCTTCATCATGTTTGATCCAATAATTTGATTTGAGAAACTCAAAATGGGATTATTAACAAAAGGAATATGTTTATCGCTTGTATGGCAATACTATTGCTCATCATAGTAAAAATGAAGTAGTAATCTGAATATCTAACAATAGTGAACGGGACAAAGATTCTATGTTTATGGATACTGGCATGCATATGACATGTAGCTAGTAGACTTTAAGTATATGGAACTATATATACAAAATAATACTGAATGAAAAGGGCTAATCTTATATAGACCAATTACAATAGTGCAAAAACACTTTTATATGCTGATAAAAATCAGCAGAAGACACTGTGCCGTGATATAAATAATTGAGAATGCAGTTGGGAGCGTGTCTTTTTTCCTTCTAAAATGGACATTAACTATCCAGGGTCACATCCACTCACACAGAGAGCACAGCCTGGGGAAGAGGGGTGGAATACAGTACTAAGGTTATGGGGGAGGCTGAAGCCTAACAGTTTAAGTCCTGCTTTTATAAGTTATTCTTTTTAAAAAATATATTTTATTGATTTTTTACAGAGAGGAAGAAAGAGGAATAGAGAGTTAGAAACATCGATGAGAGAGAATCATCCATCAGATGCCTCTTGCACACCCCCTACTGGGGATGTGCCCACAACCAAGGTACATGTCCCACCGGAATCAAACCTGGGACCTTTCAGTCTGCAGGCCAACGCTCTATCCAGTGAGCCAAATGGTTATGGCTTATCAATTATTCTTGAACAAAATTTGTTTGTTGGCTTATTCTCTCTAGGTCTCATTTGCAAGCTGAGGAACATAATAGGACCTTCTTCATAAATGTGTTATAAGCATTAAAAGAGATCAATGCAAAGTGTTTGGCATGGCAAAGGCTAATTATGTTTTAACTAGCATTATTACTATATAGTTTGACTGATGGATTGTTTGATCAAATATTTATAGATTAATTACTAAGTGTCAGGCTCTTTTCTAAGAGCTTTTATAAATGACACATCTTCATAA